GGACGACCATATCTTTAAACAAACCAATAATAGTACGGGTAATGAGCAAGTATATTGTTATCGTTAAAATGAAGCAGAATATGGCCGAAATGGAGAAGGACCGAGTCAACCGCAACAAGGTATTATAGACAACATGACGACTGTACGGGATAATATAACGAATGCACTGTGGCAGCAAAGTGGACCATGTCGTAGTTGTTAATGGAGTAAACGTGTAAGAATGATTGTAAGGGTTGATAATTAGTACTTTTGTCATATATGTATTAATGTGATGTGTTTTAAACAGTTGGATTAGTACTTGAAATTAATACGGGTTTTTGTTTTTTAATATTTACGGGTGACAAAATTACCAATAAACTGTTTAATATTATTAAAATGTAATTGGATAAGTTATATATCTAATAATATATTATTTTAACAAAATGCAACAAAATATTATATTAATAAATCATTTATAAAAAAATATATCAATCAAATATTCAACACAAATATCAAGGTCAAAATACTCTACTAATAATATATTATTTTAATAAAATGCAACAAAATATTATATTAATAAATCATTTATAAAAAAATATATCAATCAAATATTCAACACAAATATCAAGGTCAAAATACTCTACCAAACACATACTTTGCAAATCTTATTCTTGTAATCACAACCCTACTCAACTATCTAATATTATTCCCAAAATCCTATCCAAAATAATGAACCAAATGCACATAATATTATTAAAAAGGAAGGGCAATTTAGAAAAAATCCCACCTATTTTATTCATCCCCATCAAACATATTAATTATATATACTCACCAATATAACTAAACATTTTAATATAACATTCCCCAATAATCTTCAATGTAATTTATCTTGGAGGTAATCATATCTTTTTACTAATAAAAAATTCCCTGAACCAAACACTACGTTTCTTCTTTCTTCATTTCTACCAGCAAACTATATATCTTATATAAGATTGCCATACACACATTCAAGACCTTAATGATCTATATCATTCATGACCAGTTCAAGTTTACATATCCCTTAACTTAAGTTTTTTCTCTGCATAGAGTGCCATTAATATAAGCTCATTCAGGCATGACAATGTTCCCCAGAATTTCGGGGACCCGTCTTGCCCTGCCCCATATGGGGTGGGGAAGCCCCGGTTTTTTCGGGGATAGGGGCGGGTGTGGGTGATGCCTTTCCCCCATCCCGCCCCATATATAATATATAAAATTAAAAATTACATATATATGCTTTTCACTAATTCCACTATATTTCATCTAATTACACAATTATCCTACCTATATAAACCCATATTTTCCCAATTTCTCTCACCCTAAACAATTGAACAAGAACAAACCATAACCCGTATTTATGTAAAATTAACTATGTTTAAACAACTAATTTAAGTGTTTGTCATGTGGACGAGAATTAACTATTGTGTTTGGTAATGCTCAAATTAATTTATGTTTATGTAAAATTAACAGGGTGGGGATGGGTACGGTGACTGAGATATCCCCACCCTACCCCAGCCCAACCCATTGCCATGCCTACGCTCATTCACATCTTAGGGTGTTGTTATTCAAGCCCCACTATAACTCTTTATAAACTCTATTATTATTTTTTTTTTAATTTAAAAATATATTATCCAGAAGAACCTCTCTATAATGATATTCTATATAAGAATAACCTTCATTTAGTCATAAAAAATTATGGTCCCAATTTGGGTTAGATATAAATAAGAATAAATTTCACATTGTAATAAGTTATATTTTTTCTAAGTCCCGTCTTAAGGAACTTGTCTTTACATAATAATAATTATATGTGTATTGCAGAAAATATATATTGTATTACATTAAAGGTTTAAGATGAAATAAAAATATTTATCTAAAGTTGTTTGGATAATGATTTATGCTTTAGAGTTGTTACCACATCTTTTATCTTGCAGGTACGTAATAAGTCGCCAGCATAGACATCTTTTTGTTGAAGCCAAAATATTTGTAGTGTCTCAAGCATATTTAAAGCTTCTTGGTATGAAACTTTTGGTATTTCTATACTATCATTCTCAGGATTATCTCTTTTATCTTTTTGTTTAATTCTAGTAATGATTTGTTTTTCAATTAAAGCATACTCGTCTTGTTGCTCATATAGATGATTGAAGAAGACATTAATATCCCAATCTACTAAAACAATGAATTGAAATTCTAATACTACTAAAACATAAAGTGAAATTCTAATACTACGAAAAAATAAATTATAAAATAAGAAATCAAAACAATAATTCTTATAACTACACCTTTATTAAGTTATAACCTTCTCATATTAATAAATTTATTTGATCCAACATTATGACTATAGAGAGATTCTAATGTATATGCAAATTAACCCAAAAAGACTAATAGACTTTCTTTAACTTGAACTTTTGAAAATCTGCTTCAAAACTTTCGTCTTTGTGTCTATGACTTTTGGCTTGAGGTAAGTTTGATATTGATCATAAAGTAGTTAGTTTCATAAAACAATTTAAAATGTTTTATAAAGAATTTAAAAAGTTGTCGTAGGTGCCTTTTAAAAACCATATTATTTGTAAGTTGTTTTTCTAAATGTATAATTACAAATATACTTTTATATAATACTTCAAATTACAAAATAATTTTATATTAAAATTAATTAATTGAATCAAATTATTTAGATAATTTTCTTATAAATTTAAAAAAATTGGACCACTTCCATGTCGGCGGAATTCATGTGAGCGAATTTATGTGCCCCAATAAAATCGTTAAGGATTTCACTAGGGTTGTGAAGTGAGCTGACCTTGGCAATATCGGCATTAACGTCACCAAACGCACCACGTAAGTCTTAAGACAATGATTAGGCCAACACGAATGTCCAATTTGTTATATATAAAAATACTTTAAAAAATAATTTGTCATTACTTTAAAAACTAAATTTATCAAACATAAATTTATAGTTGTGAAACCTTACAACAACTTTAAAATTAAAATTTATTAAACGCACTTCAAATTATTTACAAAATTGAATCAAACGCTATTATGTTTAAAGCTACAAGAATTCAATGGACATGCATTATATAATTAGAGTAATGCTATATATATTTATTAGCGTCCTCCATTTCTTATCCTTGTTGATTATCATTTTTTGTCGTATTATCTTGTCATTTATCATATTATTCTATTATTTGGCGTCGAAGCAAAATATTATCAATATATATTCTATATTTTCACATTTGTAATTTTGGGCTTTTAAACCAAAAAGTTAATACGATACGAGACACTTAAACATGATATTCAGTTCACGTATAGATAATTATTTGTCTTATTTCATGTATAATTTTTTGCATATTATTATATCAAGGTTACATTATTTAGTAATAATATATATCAAAATTAACATCATTAAAAACTCTTATTTAAAAAAATTAATTCGTAAAATGATGTCACCTTAGTAATTAGCCTAGTTAGTTATACGCAAATTCACGTATTTCATCAAGGCTACCATATAATTTGCGAATTATTTTCAAACTATTGCAAGCAAAAAAATCATTAAGTGAAAAGCCAAAAAGACGTCATTTTGGGTGGGGTTTGATTAAAATTAAAAGATTTTTGCCTTCTCTTCTTCCTCAGTTCTTTTCCACAGTTCTTCGTCTCTTCTTCAAATCTTCAACAGTTCTTCATCTGTTTAACTCTCTTTTCTTCGTCTCTTGACTCTTGACTCTTGACTCTTGATCTCTTCTTTTCTTCTCTTTTAACTCTCTTCTCCAAGCTTCAAGTCCAAGACTTCTATTTTTAATTACGATTATATACTATAATTTGAAAATTGGTTGTATTATTTGTGTATTTTATTTGTTTGAAGCTCTAATTTGATTTTGAATTTTGGTTTTATTATGTGTTTGGTTTGAGATTATAATTGAATCTTGGCTATATATTGTGTTTGAGTCTGGAGACTATAATTTGAATCTTAGTTATATATTTGTGTATTTGTGTTATATTATTAGGTCTAATGGTTATTGGTTAATTGAATACTTTGCATTTGAAATGTTATATTGATTTTAACTAGGAGGTACATAGGAATGTTCAAAAGCGGTTAATCGAACTGGTTTTTCAGTTCAGGAAAATTCCCAAACCGAAACTGAACCAATTTTTGGGGAAAACCGGTTTTTGAACTGGTTTTCCCCTATTTTATTAGATAAAACTTTTTTTTAAATTTTTTGTTCTTAAATTAAATTGTAAACATAAACAATACATATCCAAATAAAAATTAAACATTCATACATATTAAAAATTAATAATATATATTTTTATTTTTATTATAAATATATATATAAATTGGTTTAAAAAACCGGTCTTTATTTTTTCCCGAACCAGTAACCAAACCGAAAATCCGGTTTTTTGAATTTTTTGAACCGTAACCGAACTGCTTTTTCGGTTAACCAGTTTTTTGGTTTGGTTTGGTTTTTGCATTTTTTTTAACACCCTTAGTAGTCTATGAAAAATGCGAAAACCAAGATTGATATTGCCGTATTTTTCAAAACGTATTATTGACAATATGCTGTATTAAACCCATATATACCCATACCATATTTTTCCCGTATCGAAATTTGATGACGAAATTTTTACAAATATATTTTTCATCATTTACCGTATCATATCTATAAAATTCTCGTACCTTTGTTTTGCTGTACTGTATTACTAACTAGGGTAATTAGTTTGTCCAACACCCCAATAACGATCTTGATGACTTGATGTCCCACAATGGTGCAATTCACATGATAATACTCTCCATCCGTAAAAGTAAAAATCAAAACCGTTTATGGAGAGAGAGAGAGGTGTGTGATTTGTTTATACTGTATTAGTAATTAGTGAGAATTGAGAAACACCATTAAATGAGTGAGTTGATAAATAGAGAGTAAATTTTCAAATAATTCTCTCTTCTACTTGCGCGCCATTTCCACAATTTGAAAAAAAGCGTCGTCGTTTTATAAACAATGACACAAGAAATTCCTTTTCCATCTCCTCTCGAACTCACTGTCGCTTCAGCTCTTCTCCTTCTCTCCTCCCCCGACCAACAACCAACTCCTTCTCACTCCTCTCCACAGTAAATTTTAATTTCGCTATTCAAATATGGTTATCTTTTTGTTTTTTGTTTTTTTTTGAAGTTTCACGTTGTTTTACGTGCAGGTTCGACCCTGATGGTGAATTGTTGCTGAAAAGCAAGAGCTACAGCGACGAAGGAGCGGAGCATGAACGAGAGCTTACTTCAAGTAGTAGGGATCCAAACGCTCTGCTTCGTGGCTTACCAGTGAAGCTAGCTCTGATGAATTCGAGCTCACCAGCTTCGAACTCGCTGTGGTGGCTCGCTGTCACGAAATAACTCAAGTATACTCATCTCTTGGTTTAGTTTGAGCGTTTGTGTATTGGATACAATTTTTGGCTACTTCATTCTTCTATTGTTTTATTTCTCGTAAACGATTTGATTGTTGTTTGGTTAAGTTGATATACCTCTGTTTTTAGTCATTAATTTAAGTGGATTGATCTTTCTTAAAATTTGTATCACTGGCTCTCAATGTATTAGCTTACAGTTCTCATTCTGTGTTGCTATGATAAATTTTCACTGTTGAACTTGCTTTCTTCTCTATTTGACAAGTCAGAAGAATTTGAAGTCCAATTTCAATAGAAAATTACCAAATATTCAATTTTGTTAAATGTTTGAAATATTGTTTTAAATTTCTAGAACATCTTGATTTGAACGCTCTAGACGATCATACTTTGTTCAATTTTTCCAATCACGTTCCAACATGTTTGTTTTAACTTGGCTTTTAATTTTCCTTATAATCAAAATTTGAAAATTCTAAAACTACTCCTAGGTCTTGCGAAAGAGTCGCTCGAAGATCAGCCGGAAAATCACAGCGCCGAAGCCGCAGCCCGCCGACGGTTAAATCAGTTTCCTCGGAAGCCCTGTCAACAGAGGCTGGATCCAGCTTGTCAAGCAGCGCAAGCGCGATCACAGCGCGCGAAGCCCGTGCGTGAGCGAGAGGAGGCAGATGGTGTGGCTCGGGAGAAGCCGAAGAGGAAAACAGGTGGCTCAACTCACATTCAGCGGCGAGCTGATGCAATTTTGAAGCTGCTCTCTTCTGGCGGTTGTTCCTCTGAAACGAGGATACGTCGGTTTCTCGGTGACAGTCCTGACACCAGCAAAGCACTCAGAATGTGATACCCTGCACCTTCTCGTTATGAGTTAACCTCTTGATTGGATCGTTTTAACCGTATGATCGAATATTTATCTTTTTATGTCCATCTGAGGGTTCAAACGAATCCAATCAAATCATGTTGGTTCCGCTATCAAAAGTTGGTCAATTGCTGACTGGCAGCGCATATGTGAGGGAATTGCTACGGACTCTGAGAGTCCACCGCAATAACAACTTTTTAAAATTTTGGTATTTCTGTGTGAACGCAAAGATAGTGTTAAACCGGTCACATGGCAGGGCCAATACTGAAAAAGGACCTTGAAACAAATGAAGAAATCTTAACTATACTATTTAATTATTGAATGTGTAAAACCAATCTATTTTTCTTTTATATATGTATAATATTTTCTTAATTGCCTTCCTTGCTCGTCTTGTCTTATGTATTCATTTTAATTCTTACTGGTATATATAATTGTACATAGATGACGGAGGATTTTTAACCTTGTTGGTTAGGGTTAATGAAGAGGATGAAGTGAGTCCAGGATGGTTGTTGTGTTATTAATAAAACATGAAGAGTGGTTATGACAGTGACTAGAGGTGGTGATTTGTTGTGGGATAGAATTGAATTTGATGATTTTTCATGTCTGCAGGTTTTGAAGCGGGATGAGTCAAGAGATCTGGCACAGGAGCGTCAGCGACCTTATATTTACACGGTATTTATGGTTCCGGTAATTTTCAGTTAGCTTCAAATTAGACTTAATAGGTTTAATAATTGAGGCTTCAACAAAAGAGTAAAATTTGAAGGAATATATACTAACATATTCTTAGGAAATCTGGGTTCTTAAATTTTGTAGTACAAGCGTTGGAAAAATCTTTTTCTGTATAATTGAAGCATATTACGTTTTGCAGATAGCTGAGTATTAGAGGCAGACAGCAGCAAGAGCTGGGTAAATATATAGAGATTTGCATCCCAAAAACAGGCAAATATGATTCAACGGATGGCCAAAAAGACATTATAGCAGTTGATTGATTTGGTAATTAGTATAGATCCATTGTCTTATTTCTACTTGGTTATCGTTTATAATCAATATTACTTGCAAACTGTAAATAAAAACTCAAAGGGTCTCTATAACCAACTTTTAATGAAGTAATTTTCAGTAGAAATCTGTCCATGGTTAATGGCAATTTCCTTATTTTAGTGTGTTCTGAAATTTAGTTATTTATTTTGGGCTTTCTCTTTTATTTCTGCTGGGAAAATTCACTTGGTACATATTCCTGGATCAAGCAACCAATTTAGATATACATATTCCTTATTGAAACTTAGAACTGCTTAATTATAAGCTGTAATGGTATTAGTATATTTCAAAAGTCATTACAAAATTCATTATAGGTTGTGTCTATATTTAGTCCAATCAAATTCTTCATAATACTATCTAAGAATAGATTTCTCAATAGGCCTGGCCAAGTCTAACGGGCTGAATGAGCGGCCATTTCTTATGGTGAATGGCCATTTTATAGTTTGCCATGTTGTAATTATTTTTATTAAAGACAAAGGGTCAAACCTAATAGAGATTCAAAAGGCCGGCAGCAAATTGAAGGTTGGCGTTGAAGCAGCGACCCAATTGCTTTAAAAGTAACATCCAATCTCCTCCTCAACTTTGATAACATTTTTATATGATCGATATCTTTGCTTGTAATCAGAGAATACCCAAGGATTCGGATTCGCCCAATTTAATATTGTTTATGCAAATATTTCTCAACCGCGTTAGTCTCAATTGTTACCTAATCCCACACCGCAAGATTAGTCAAATTTGCAACTTTTCAAAGTGCCCAACTATTAGAAACCTAATTCAAAATGCTTATAATAATATTTAAAAATCCTAACTACCTTTGGGTAGTTTAACGGTTCGCTTGAGACTCTTGGATGTATTACTCAAGAGATCTTGAGTTGAATCTTACGACTACTAATAAGGGGTAGTAATTAGAGATCTACCTAACTGTTTTTAGGACCCCAGAAAAAGTCGAAGTGCACACAAGTTGGCACGAACACCCTCGAATACAGTTAGGTAGTAATTAGATATCTATCTAACTTTTATTTTAAGACCCAAAGAGAATAGTCGAAGTGCATATAAGTTAGCCCGAACACCCTCGAATATATATTATATATACCATTATTTTCACTTTACTGTATATTAATTGTTTGCATGGTTAGCTTTTTATGAATTTTAAAGTAAAGTTGTTGTGAGTTTAAGGAGTTATCTTCTCATAAATCTCAAAACAAATGAGACTTGTAACTTAGTCTAACTTCAAAGATGAATGTGTATTACTTCTACGCTATATAAATTTGATGAAAAAATGTTTGTCAAAAGATTTTAGTCCAAAGAATCTTAAAAACATTCATGAATGTGTTGGCATTGTATATTAGAATAATTGTAATTGAATAATATTGGTTGGAACTAAGTTTGTAAGGGATAGGTTTTTTTGAATTTAGGCAATGAAATTAATGATAGGGCGTCTTAAGTACCCCAAGACCAGCGCCGTCAAAGTCATGGCGCGAATGTTGAACGCGTAACAATAAGCTGAAGCATTCTTCCTCCTACGCCTCTTTCTTTAGACTCCAATTAGGAAAGAGAAAAGAAAAGGCATGACCCAGACACGCAGTTAGTCTAATTGCCAATTCTTTCTTATTATTTTAAACTTTAATTGCCATTCAATGACCGTTCCTTTGGTATATTCTCTAACTACCCCTCTTACTTGTTGTATTTTTCAATATTATCCCCCATCTACTCAAATAGTCAAATTTCTTCACCTAATTACCATGCCAAAGCTAGGATTTAAAAAATATATCTTTAAATGAATACTTAAGTCTAAATCCCATATCTTTCTAGCATTTTTGATTTAGTAAATAAGTGAATAATACGTAATAAGTAATGTCATTCTAATAATTCAATGTCAAATTGGTAATGACATATAATTATAAAACAATATTATTTTGTATATTATATTCACTTTTAAGTGTTATTGTTTTAGTATTAACTATTTATCCAATTTATATGACTTTGTAATTTTAATTAAAAAACATTTTTTTTATCAAATTGATTACTTTATATATACGATTATGTTATTTTTTATTTTCTAATTTGGAGTTTGGAGTTAAAATAAACTATTTGAATAATTAAGTGGTTGGTGATATGTAAAATAGTTTTAGTAACATATGAGTTAAAGTGAGATGGAGTAAGATAACCGTTTCTCTCACAAATTGTGGTAGTTGTGTTGATACGAGTGCTGTGCAAAATTAATTATAAAATCGTATCTGTTGTGCCCTAAGTCTAACCAGAAATAACATAAAATACATAATATATATATTATGCTTAATGTTACTAAGGTAAAATAATAAAAAAATCCAACCCCCGACTCCAAGTGCATCACTAATAACAAATGGGGGCCAATCTAATTTAAATAATTAAAATAAAAAACCTAACGAGAGGGGGGAGGGAAACACGGAAGAAAGTCAAATGCAAGAACCTGGGAGAGGCGCTCTAAAAGCATGGCATTAGCCTCCATTCTCCACTCAAACAAAAAGTCTCTTTTTTTTTTTTTCGTTCTTGCGCTCTTCTTTCATCTGTTCGTCTTCTAAATCTCTCTTTGTTCTTTTCTCTTGTTTAGTTTAAGAAGATTCAAGATTGAGATGGGAGTATATGGAGTTATTGGATGCTGGGGTGAAATCGCGGCAAGATTTCATTCTCACTGCCCACATACTGCTCGTTTGTATTACCATCCTCCGGCTAGCCACCACGAAGACCACCACCACCAGGATCACCATGATGGCGCTCACGCGGCGGTTCAAGATCCAACGCGATGGAGATTTCCAGTTGCGCTCGAGGCGGTCAGGGCGCTTGATACTTCAGATCAGCTTATTTTTTTTTTCCGTTGTATGAATGAATGAAAGTTTCAAAATCACGAAAAAAAAAAAAAAAAAAAAGAATTCACACAACAGGAATATTGAAAAATTCAATTTTGACCCATTCATCGTATCTCATTGGTTAATGAAGCAAAACAATTCTTATTGCGTTCGCGGGATTTACATTATTTTTTTCTTTATTCTTTTGATGCCCACTCGTTTTAAGCGTTATTTAATTCTTGTGACCAATAATTTTGATTTGGAGCGTGTGGTTGTTGAGGTTTAGAATTATAAAATTATCTGCCAGTCGGTGCCGTTGGTGATTTTTCCTAATAAGATCTGAACAATTCAGTGAACATGAATACTTTTGTTTATAGAATAATTTTAGATTCACACGTTAGGTTTCTTGGACGGATCTACCACTGGAGTAGATTTTTATTGAATTGATTATTATAATGTGATATTGACGTCAATTCTGAAACAAAAAACATGGTTCATGTTTCGATATATTATGGGTTCATGCATCCACCAAATTTAGAATTGAAGATATAGCTCTTGATTATGACTGCCCAATTTGTTGGTTGCTATCAAATTTCACTGCTATTAAATTGTTTATACAGGAATGTATTCTTAACTGGATATGTTAATATAGGAATTGTGACCTAACCCAAGAGTTGGGAGCCTTTAGATGGTGGTCGACCATGATCTGATCATAGGACTACCAATCGTCTGAAGTTGGGGGAAGCCTTGGAACAGGCGGTAAAAACCCCCTCCAATGACTGGGGAATCCCTAAGAAATTCAGGGGCTAGGGGCTAGGATAGGGAAGTTTTCCTCCTCAACCCCCATCATTATTTTATTAAATATATGTTATATTCATACATATGAATTCTATACGTTTTTTTTTTTTAATTTATACATTAAAATTAGATGAAAATGATTAATATTGAGTTTAATTTGATAACAGAATAAGAAATTAAAGAATTGATTACAATTTTGAGAAGAGAATAAATCTTAGCCTTTGGTTTATGTTGTTGCTTGTGTCATTGGATTATAAGAAATATTATATCCACAATCTCTTCTTATAAATTTTTTTTCACAATCCTGACGTAACAGTTCGCAACTAATTAGTCGTAATTTGTCAGGTGAAACCTATTATAAACTAACCAAGTGTGAAGGGGTTGTAAGAAAAAATTTGTAAGAAGGGGTTATAAGAGAAAATTTGTAAGAAAGGGTTGTGGGTGTAGCATTACTCTTTGATTATTGAAAGTTGAGTAAAATTAAATGAGGGGAGGATCCATATGTGGGGTTTTTACATTTAATTAATATTGGTTTATAAAAGCTGAATTTTTTTTCCTGTACATTACAATGACCAATAGTTAATCCAAACACTTCTAAATAATACACTTTTAAAGAGTATTATGATCATTATTAATTTATTTTTATTTTAAAAAATAAGAAAAAAGTGTTAAAATTTCCAAAAAAGAGAAGCATTTGTATAGATACGGAAATGGATTTTGTCTCCTACATGCAATTTACTCACCCATTTTCCTGACTCCCAAATTCCCGGGATGGAGACGGTGGCCTCCAAATTTTAGATAGAGACAGGTTCGGACATTAAGTTTGGTGTTGGAGGATGGGACACGGAAAACATTCCCTGATAGTGTTTTAAAACCTGACTAGTTGAACCGAGACCTGGGACTCGAGGCCTTCATCGGGTCAAGTTACAATTTTTATTGTTCATCAAAACCCTAAAAATTAGGATGACGATAGGCAAAAAATTGACGGCTGGGATGTTGGGGGTTTTGAAGAGGAAAAGCCAATGAATAGAAAGCTTTGTTTTAAAAACTGACTTGTTGTAAGACTCGGCAAGGTGACCGGGTCATGGGTCAACCGATCCAACCGGTTGGACCGTCGGTTGGACCGGTGAGATGAGATTGAAAGAATTTTTTGAGTCCATTTAATTGTGTTTCTAGAATTTAAAAATGCAACTGGAGTAATGGACGCATAACAAAATGGGTTTTT